GCAGAAATCAGGAATCCATCTTAATTGAACAAACAACCTACTCTAAACCAACACCCCGGGGGGCCTAGATACCTCTTCTAAGTTTCACAAAAGTTCCGGTCATGTGACTTCTTTGTTCAATACTGTATATATATATCCGTATCAGTGTAAATTACTTGTACCTGATGATGACAAAACCTTGTCGAAACATTGTACATTTGCTGTCATGTTAAACTTATATTAAAGTTTTTCTTCATTACCCATTTAAGCCGTCTCCAGCCATTATTTGACCCAATATTAGATAATGAATATTCACTGTAATTCTGAATTTACTATATGCATCTGCAAGTTTGGCAAGTTTTTAGTAAAATATGCAAGTTTGTTAAACACAGAAAAAATCATGCAAGTTACATGATATGTATGTGAATTGACAATGTCAGACTGACTCAAGACTATGTCAAGTCAGAGTGCAAGGTGATTTTCATGTGAAGAAAAATACCTCTGTCCATCTTACAGTATACATATTACATTTGTATAATCTTTGAAACCTCTGAAACACATATATACAGATTTTATCAGTATTCTGTATCTGGTACTCACTCTCCTCTACCATGAACCATTGCTAAATCAGCAATGGGCTAAAATGAATAATTGATTACTGACAAAGTACACAATACCGTGTTGAATGGCACTTTGTTAAATCTTTCAGCATGGGCTATGCCACAGGAACAAATTCTGTAACCATTTTGTGCTTGTTATAGTTTTCATGCTATAACTTTTAAATTACGAAGAGTATCTTCATAAAATTTTGCAGATTATCAGTAAACATTGTATAGCTTTTGTAGACAAAATATCAATCTTTTTAAATTAAGTTTTTCTCATGCCTTTTTTCTTTTGGAATGTTCACTATCTAACATGCAAATTCATTTTGATTATGAGGTTAAAAATACTTCTATGCATCAGAAAATTTTCAAATTTCACATGCAATATCTTTATATTTTATCTGTTATTTTCACTATCAAACCTTTATATGGGTTCAGTCAATTTGACCAACCTCATAACCTTCATAAAAAAGTAGGAAATAAATATAAATTATGCTTTTTTTGTTCTAGAATGACTACAGATTATAACATGAAAACACAAATGTTTAGTTTAAATAGCGAAAATATCATAACATAATACAATTATATATATTTATTATATTGACCTTTCAGCT